TAACAGAGTAATACTTCCCTTCTTATTTATTTCTCACCTCTGTTCAACTTTTTCACCCACCCTTCCATCATCCTTGTGTTCTAGCACTGCATTAAAATCCTTGATTATTACTGCCTTCACCCTGTTTTCCTACTCTGTCTCTTCTAAACATTTGGTCGGAATATTTATTTCCCAGTCCACGGGAAAGCTTGCCAGACAGCAATATCGATGGCAGGCTATACGGTTTTAGCTGGTTAGGTATCCCAACACATCCTCTGGGGTACCCATACCTTGGCTCTTGCCAACCTGTGCCTATTGCTTTCCGGAATTAGGTGAACAGGATGAGTCCCTCCAAGGAGAGAGTGCACATTCCATTCCAACAATCTATCTCTGGAATATCCATGCTGAGGTGGGATGCATGGTTTAGCTTGGTTTGGATACTCTTAAGCATGGTGATGGGTTTCCACATGTGTCACACACCCGGCTGACCAAAAAAGTCAATTGCAACTCCCTGATTAATTTCATAGCTGAGATCAGCTAACTCAACATAGACCTGGGATTGAACAAAGGATGTTTCAGGTCTGTATGGCTATGTTTCACACGGGTGCGCCTTCGCCAAGTGGTCTATCACTGCATCTTGCCTAACTTGCATAATAGAATAAGAAGGCTGTTGTTGCATTTATAGTACCTAATTTGCATTACAATGCTTCCTTTAAAAGCAGTTCTGGGCATATGCTATGTTCACCTCCTGCTGGCAAAACCACTCTATTTACTCTGTGGGACAGTCTCATCAATAAAGATTAAAGAAAACCACGAAACATACCAACTACAAGCCCACCTGTTTCCTGCCCATCGCAAACATTCCACAAATTTTTAGGGCATAACTGTAATTCACCCAAATATTTTGTAGAGAAGCAATCTATAATTTTGAGGAAAAAAACATTTTTTGGTCAACATACGCAGAAAAGTCACTGAGCGCTCAAAAACGGATTTAACTGTAGAATGAATCGCAACAGGAGGCAGGGAACCACATTTAATCATTATCTGTGGACGCTGTACTATTACAATCCAGTGGTGGACAACTATAAAAGTTTCAACAAAACACAAAATACTGCAGATGCTGGAAATCTGAAACAAAAACATAAGTCGCTAAGAACACTCAGCAGGTCAGGCAGCATCTATGGAGAAAGGAAAGTGAGTCAATGTTTTGGGTCTACAACTCTTCGTCAGAACTGGGGTGTGTTGGGAGGGTGAGGCTTTTAAGGACTAACAGAGAAGGGGGAGGCAGGGCAAGGAATATAAAAGAGAAAATGGGGAAGAGGACAGGGGATGATGCTGCCTGACCTGCTGAGTGTTCCCAGTGATTTCTGTTTTTGTTTCAGATTTTTTGTTTCATTTGCAGTATTTTGCGTTTTGTTTATATTTAATTCACTGCCAGTTCTCTTCTAAGGAGTATTGCTCTTCTCTTCGACGTGACTTTCGTTCTTCCCCCTTATCCTGCTCACCTTCTTTGCTCATCATTAACACCTCTTTACCCCATTATCCCCTGTCCTCTACTCTTTTGTCTTCCTTGCCATGTCTCCCCCCTCTCTATTAGACGTTAAAAGCCTCTCCCTCCCAACATGCCCAGTTGTGGACCCTTCATCAGACTCAATTTCCTTTCTCATTAGATGCTGCCTGATCTGCTGCCTTCCCAGTAACTTCTGTTTTCGTATGAAAGTTACAGTTTAGTTGGGATTTGTATAATTGCAGTGTTGAGAACAATAGAAAAGAGATAAACCGTACACTGATTCAGATCCCAGGTTACCACGGAATGAATAAAAATCTACTCCAGTGACATCGTGCAATATAGAGGGGATGCAGGTCATAAACTCACAACTACACATCCATATCCTTGATTCTCAAAGTCAGCCAAACTCTTCAGGGTGTGCAACAACAACAAGATTACATTTGTATAGCGCCTTTCACGTCGGGAGGACGTCACAAGGCGCTGGACAGAGTACAGCATTTCAGACCCGAGCTGGGGTTGGGGGGGAAGGGAGGGGAGGGGAAGGGGGGTGGCTGATGGCATGGTTGAAGAGGAGGCTCTTGAGGCGGGACTTGAAGGAGGCTAAGGAGGGGTGAGGCGGAGTGACTTGGGGATGGAATTCCAGAGGTTGGGGGCAGAGTGGCTGAGGCTCTCCCGCAATGGTGGGGCGGGTGGGTTGGGGGTCATGGAGCAGACCGGAGCCGGCTGAGCGGAGGGAGTGGGCGGGTTGGTAGGGGGTTAGGAGGTCGCAGAGGTAGGGTGGGGCGAGGCCATGGAGGGCTTTGTATGTGAGGACCAGGACCTTGAACTGGATCCTTTGAAGGATAGGGAGCCAGTGGAGTCGGGCGAGAGTGGGGGAGATGGGGTCACGGAGTTTGGTGCGGGACAGGACATGGGCTGCAGAGTTCTGGATTATCTGCAGCCTGTGGAGGGAGGAGTTGGGAAGGCCGACAAGCAGGACGTTTGCACAGTCGAGCCTGGAATTGATGAAGACATGAACAAGAGTTTCAGCGGCCTGAAGGGTAAGGTAGTGGAGGAGTCGGGCGATGTTACTGTGTAGGGTGTAGTGATATAAACTCACTCAAATAGTTTTTGGCACAAAATGTTCTAAAGTCCACTGAAACATTCATTTGACCAATGGAAAGAAAAAGACCATCATAAAATCATAAACTCTCAGTGTTATATAATCTTGCAGAAAATGTTGCAATACAACTTCTAATTTTTTATTTCCATTAATTTTGCTCAGAGCCAACAAACTTAACAGAGCAATGAAAAAGCACAGGATCAGATTTGACTTTCAAACGTTCAAACTTTACAATGTGCAACATGCACAGGATCAACAACAAAAATAAGACTCCACTAATTAAAAACTGTCAGCAAGCAACATTCAGACTATAAATCCAAAAGAACAGCTATGAGAAGCCGAGATTATCTGTTCAGAAAACTACTAGTTGTTACCGGAAGAAAGGAAACTCAAGGTTAAGGCACCATAATTTGGTTTGTTCAATTAGCCTCCATCCATCTTTTTTACAACCTCTCTTAATGAAAGCATTTTTCAATTCCGAACCCTAAGATTACCTTTACTAAAACATTCCCATCCCCGTTACATTCACACAAGCTGACAACCTGATCAGAGACTGCAGCATAAACAAACCAATACATTAAAAGTAACATCATCCACTGTTCAGTAGAGCATTAGTCATAAATACCATGAGAAAAAGAGGTGCAGAAGATCCTCTACTTTCTATTCTACATCAATCTTGTGCCCATCCTTGCTGTGCAAACGGTTTGAACCCTTTCTTACAACTTAGGAGCCAAGTATATGTAAACAAAATAGTGGTTGAATGTCAGATAACCTTATAACTCCTCTGATCATTCAATTAATCAGTTAAAATCATTTGAGAACCTCTTTTTAAGATCCTACTTTTTTCATCCCATTCCCACATCTCTCAACCCCATACAACCATACAGATTTAACAAGTTCAGTTGAGTGCATTTAAAACTCATTAATATAGATCACCATTCTTCTCAAGATCAACATATCTCCTTACACACAAACGATATTTTCAGTTCCACAGCTGCCCCAAGAATCCTACTAATGTCCAGGTTTCTTTTTCCCCAGTAAACAAGTCATTGTATTGATTTCAGGTGGATTTCATACATCAATGACCCTTGTATACTCGAGCAAAAATGTTTGGTACAATGGCATTGCGCAGTACTAGTAATAGTTTAGATTACCATGTCCTTGACCGGTTCCACTGGCTCCCCATCCCCCAGAATTGTATGATCCTCATCCTCAATTTTAAAGCCCTCCACAGTCTTGCCCCTCCCTACCTCTGCGACCTGATAAAACCTTTCCAATCTGCCCACCCCCTCCACCATCAGCAGTCGGGCCTTCAGTCTTTCTGCCACCACCCTCCGGTACCCCTTCCCGGAATACTTTTGCCTTGACCCCAATTGCCTCCTTCAAGACCCATCTTAAGACCTTCCTCTTTGACCGTGCCTTTGGTTATCCTCCCACACAGCCCCCCTTTTCTCTCCACCCCCCTTGAGTGTCCAGGAACTTGGGACGCCCTCCCAACGTGAAATGCGCTATATTAATGCAATTTGCTGTTGTTATGGAAGGCTGCAAATACGAATCTCAGTCTGTGCTGAGTTAACTAATCTCAGCTAGGTTATAAACTGTGGCCCTATTGGTTTGGGAAGAGAAAGCTCAGCCTCAAAATTTACCTCTTTGACCGCACCTATGGTCACCTTAACCCGAGTCCAACCTAGTCATTTTAAGCGCTCTGAAATTCCTATGTCAAGGGCACTATACAAAAGCAAGATGTTATGTCACACTCACCTGTTCTTTATTATGTCTCTCTTTCCTCACCTCTTTCATACTGAATCGGTCACACTCTGTACAACGCTTTTCCCTATATCTTCCTTGTGTTGATGTTCACTCTCTGTCCTTTAGCTCTCATACCTTCCTTCACACAATTATTTTCTCCACCTTCCACACCTTTTCATCTCTGCGTCTCCCCTTCCTTCCCTCTCCCAGTCTCTATTCCCTCCCTCCCCCCCACCCCAACTCTTCCTGAATAGTGCATGTTGGCCTCTAACCAAAATTGGAGGCCACCAAAAAAAGATTTGTTTGAGAACCACAAGACTAGAGGACATAATAAATGGAAATAGAACATCTGATATTGAAGTTGTGAAGGCTTAGTAATGTGGGGAGCGAAAAGATGAGAAAAGTCACAACAGGAAAAAGAGGATTAGGAGAAAGTGTCCAGAACGATATTTGTTGAATCTCCCTCACTGCACCCCACCCCCTCGACTAATTTTTCATGGCCACGCACAATATTCTTGCAGAAGAACTAATGAAATACACTTCCAATTCATCAGAATATGTCCAGTGGGCAACCAAAAGCATGATTTGTTTTGGTCAGTATCATATAATCAGAAATGAAACATTTTTAGATATCTAGAATAAGTAATTATTAATAGTTACCTCTCGTTTTTCTCAAGACAACCGGTTGTTTTTCCTTCATCCACAATCTTACTGTTTGCTTTTTTCTTTTTCTCTCTTTTCTTTCTGCTGAGAAGATCATCCTGAAAGGAAAGAGAAGCATTGCTACTGGTGACCCTGGAATAAAGTTTTGACAATCTGTTAACGGGTCTGTATGAAGAATAAATGTCAAAAAGGTCCTCTGCAATTCATATTTATTACATAAATTTATTTGCCTCTGCCAAGATCATCTGTTACCACAGCATCAAGTCCAGTTTTTAAATATAAATGACTGATTTCCGGTTTGATCAGTCATGTGCATTTCCACAGCAATCACTCTTGTCAAGTGCAAGAAACAATTCAAGAAACAAGTGCAAGGTTTCACACAACTAAAGTAGACAAAAGAGTCACGCTTGCAAAGGTCTGTAAAAGTATATTTTGCTGACTAGATGTAATTTGATAGACTAAAAAACATGAATTGACAGAGATAAATGCTCAAAGACAAATGTTCAAAGACCAGCACTTTGGCTGCTGTTTTCTGCACATGCCAGGTGCCTGACATGTGCAGAAACCTGTTGTAATGCTTAAGGGTATCCAAACTAAACAGAGTTCCACTTACACATACCCATGGAAATTTCCTGTGTCTGAAATAGAGTGCACATTCTTTCCCTGGAGGAATACATCCTGTTTACCTAATTCTAGAAAGAGTAGGCAGAGATTGGCGAGAGCCAAGACTATATTCAGTTACTGCTGAAATTTAACTAGCTAGGACCGTTCATTACGGCTTTTTAAAGGGTTAACAGGGACTGAGTGGCATGAATTCACGTCCTTATGACTGGACTGTTCCTCCAGGTCCAGCGTATTGCGCACCACCTCACACAAGAACCGAACAACTGAGAGTGCCACAGAACTCAACTTCAATTTGACATTCTATTGCTAAGCATATCACGTTGGAGCCTATCTGGCTCCCTACCCTTCAGAGGATCCAGTTCAAGATCCTGGTCCTCACATACAAAGCCCTCCATCACCTCGCCCCACCCTACCTCTGCGACCTCCTAACCCCCTACCAACCTGCCCATTCCCTCCGCTCAGCCGGCTCTGGCCTTCTCCACGTCCCCCAACTCACCCGCCCCACCATTGGCGGGAGAGCCTTCAGCTACTCTGCCCCCAACCTCTGGAACTCCGTCCCTCAATCACTCCGCCTCACCCCTCCTTAGCCTCCTTCAAGTCCCGCCTCAAGACCCTCCTCTTCGACCATGCCATCAGCCACCCCCCTTCCCCTCCCCTCCTTTCCCCCCCCAACCCCAGCTCGGGTCTGAAACTAAGGGAACTCGAGTAGAGCAATAAGGTAAACCTCAGGTTTCCGTGTAAAAACAATTCCGGGGCACGAATGCTGTACACGAGCCAATCACTGATGGTTTCTGACAACTTAAATGACTACATTTGAAACAACAGTTGCTGACTGCTTGTAATTATTTAGTATTTCAAATTATAAAAAAAGGAACTTTTGACAATAAGCAAAGGGTTTTTGTGCAAAATGCATTAATTTTAACCTCAAATAGATCATTGCTCCTCCCAAATTGAAAAATAAGCCAATCCATCACCATTTAGAGTAATTTTTTTAAAAAAGAATACTTCAAGCAATAGAATAAAGATATATTTAAATATGCACTTGAAAATGGAACATGAAAACGGAAAATAATTTCTCCATTTTAATAAGAAAACATAAAAATTAGTATAAGGATGTGAAAAATAGGTTTTCTTTTCTAATGCATTCATTTATTTCTAACACATTGTCAGGTAGGTACAGTTTCCCACATGCACTATTCTGAAATATTAGTCAGTATTGAAAGCTGGCGCCACCATAAACTCACTACCACATTGTAGTGCAAAGCATACAGCTCTCTCAATGGGAAATACTTTCAGACTCACTAAAGTCTGTGCACAGCCAACTCACTAATGTGAATTGGTCATAGAACATTAAAGGTACATTTATATGTGAAACATTTCAGATCCAATGAGAAGACTCATGAACCTGATTTCTGTTGATCTATACATTTTATAAATCTGCTGCAACGTAAAATATCCAAACTCATACATTTCACAGAGCAACAGATCTAATAAAGCACAAGCAGATTTATGGAGATAATAGATGGAACTAGCAGCTGATTATCATTTGGCACTCACGTGACTGATTCAGGAACCTTAGTAACTTCTCCCTTCAAATGAACTGATACCTGGGTAACACTATTCTTCAGTAGGATTTGTGCTAGTATACCATTACAAAAACTGGTACAATATATGTTGCAAATACAGTCGAGTCTGCTTAATGCCATATCTGTCATAGCCGACAAAATTATAATATTTACGTACTATAAAAATAGGGGAACTTTCAAACACTTCCAGACTGTTCTGAAGGCATTTACAACATTAAAACATGCAATATTTTACTTTAAGTTCACTGTAATACTTTTTTTTTAAAAAAATCAGTTATTTTTGACTGCTTTATCTTCAAATTTGAACCACAAAATAACAACAACTTGCATTCATATAGCGACCTTCACATGGGTAGCGTCCCAGAGCGCTTCAAACAGCCATTATGGGTCTAAAATACTCCACTGTAATAGCATTTTCTCATTGAACTATCCGCTTTCTATCAACTGGCCCATTCTCTCAATGGACCAGGCACAATAGAACTGTGCCTCGCCTCGATTAAAAGAGATATACAAAGGGAAAACAAAAATGTTTTGAAAAGAAAGTGAAATACAAAATAATATTTGCTAGAAAAATGAGTTTATTGTCCATTTTTGTTCCCATCCTCTGTAAATCATCCTGGAGAACACCTCTTGCAGTATCAGGTTGATATTCTTCATACTATATTGGTTGGATAACATTTGCAGTACTGTGTACAGTTCTGGTCGCCATACCACAGGAAGGATATTGTAGTATTGGAGAGAGTGCAGCATAGATCTACGAGGATACCGCTATCACGAACAATTAGACAGGTCAGAGCTTTTCTCTCTGAAAATAAGTAACTGAGAGAGATTCTGATAGATATCTTTAAGACTATGAAAGGATTTGGTAAATTAGGCATTAATAGGCAGTTCCACTTGTTGGTGAATCCAAATCGAGGGGCAAAAATATAAGTTTGCTAGTAGCAGATCTACAAGAGAGTCTAGAAGTAACTCCTTTATTCAGAGGGTGGTAAGAATGTGCAACTGACTGCCGAAAGCTCATGGTTGAAGCAAAAGGCATCACTTTATTTAGATTCATCTCCTTACAAAAAGGAAGTTTTGTGCATAAGTGAGAGAAGGGAATAAAGCGCTCCAGAAGAGGGGATTAGGAGGGGTGGAAGTTTACGGGGAGTATAAGCACGAGCATGGACAATTAGTTGGGCCAAATGGCCTATTTCTGTGGTGCATCATTTTAAGAAAATTCTATCTATGTATATGATCTTGTTAGCAGACTGGTCTTTGGCTGGAGGCTTCATAACCAAGCATTATACTGTTCTCACCAGACACCCAGATCTGACTCATTATCACCCATTTTGTCACCTCTACACAGAAAATCAGGAAAATGAGTCATCAGGAAAATCTTTGCAAATTTCCTGAGGCTCTATATTTTAGCATCTCAATTATCTTAACTTGAATGGCTTTCTGTCCCTATTTACAAGATATCACCCACACATGAATCAATCAATTATTATAATGCTGTAAAACGGAATGCACCCTCTTAAAAAAACTGCCAAAATTAAATAAGATGCAACTTAAGAAAGAGATATGTAAACAAACACCATCAACTGCAAAAAATTGAAAGCATTTGAATTTAAATCTACAAACACCTTATATAGTTATCTTTAGGGTGTGACCATACAGATAATAAATTTGCATTTTTCTCATTTTCAGTACACAAGTGGCATCAGTCTGGATCATAACATTTAATATGACGTATGCGAAGTCCGAGTTGCTGGCAATCCGATTTAATCAATAATATACGTTGCACATGCATAAGTTAATGCTGCCAGTAAGTGCGCATGCAATAGTTCGAAACTGCAGCTGGTAAGTGCACATGCGGTGATGGATCAAGACTACATTTCCCACAATTCTATGCATTTTGATCTGTCGCATTTAATGAAGTTCTTTTGTGCATGCGTGGACGGATCAAGACTACTTTCATGAGATTCAATGCAACCAGTCAGTGTGTTAGTAATGGAGGGGAGGGCAGTGGCATTATGAATTAGGATGTGATTAATACGAGGAGCACAAAGAAATCTAAGTGTTTTTGATGGGAAACTGAATGGAACTCAGGTGAATGTACAACTTAGGCGATTATGTAATTTGAAAAAGGTGAGTTTGACTGTACTAACTTTGTAAAAGCTAAGACTTGAAAATAGCACAATTTATCAAAAGCTCCTTATTTCTTTGTCAACTTACCAGTTGTTTCTCAAGGTAAATTGACCAAACCACAGCATAATGGCCCACGGTCAGAATCACGAAGAGCAGCAGTGAAAGCTCCGCATTACTCATCTTTCTTACTCGCCTGTAGTAGAAAACAGGCTGTCGCCAATCTGGCAGGCCATTCGCCAAAACATCGTCATACCTGTACACAGGAAAAAAGTACAATCTAAGAATCTGAGCAAGACAGCCACCAAAAATCTGTCATTATAAAAGCGCCTTGATTATTAAACCTCAACGAAAGTCTCTTTGTAATTTATCAATTTTAATGCCCACGGTTTTTGTCACAAATTGAATAGCTAGGCTCTACACACTACATTCGTCTATCTGAAAGAAATTTTATCGAAGAATAAAGACTAATAAATTTGACCAATTACCCTGTTTGTTGCTTTTGGTTCAAAGACAGTTGCCCTATGGCATAAAACAATTTTAGCTACAGCAATTCATTACTGTATGTGCTTTACGGCTGCATTCAATGTGGGTTTTGTCAATTACCTTTATGGAAACAAGATCATGTCAATTTGACAGAGTGTACACATTGGGGAACTGTGGAATTCTTATTCTACTTTACAAGTGGAGGAAATCTCTCAACTCTCAAGAGACATAGTCACAAACAAATTAGGTCACAAATAAAAAAATGGAGATTGCACTGGTCACCACCATGTATGTACGATGTGGTGCAAAGTGTAAATTTAAACCCCATTTTCAAACAGATTGAATTTTTTAAAAAACACCAGCGTGATGGAACCACTAAAAGCAGAATGTGAATGCATACTTTTCTTACATACAAACGTCCGAGCTTACAGAAATAAGCACGACAGTATTTTAATACTAGGCCATTCTGATAAACCACAAAGCAGCTGGATGGAGGAAGGGCATCATTGGTTATCCGGGTGCAGATCGACTACGTATCATGGTGGTCATGGAATGTTGCAAACTGAAAGTTGTGAAAGAAAAGAACCTACAGATTCTAAAATAAAATTTAATTCATAAAATGCACTGAACTGGTTTAAAATGCAAACATTACTAATACTCATTTACCTCAAATATCTCATAAACTGCATTCGCCCACAAAATAAACAGTCAATTCACTTTACAATATATTCTGTGAAGCGCTTTTGGGGTGTCTCGAAGACGTGATTAGGCTCTATATCAAATGCAAGGATTATTATTCCCACTGCACAACACAGAATACTATAGAGTACAACACCGAATTCTACAGAGGACAACACAGCCGAGCCTGATCTTGTTTTACCAGATGCCTACACACATGCCCTTTCAGCAAGGATTACTTAACAACGTTGAATTTTCTTCTCCCCTGGAATCAAACCTGCAACCTTCTGGCCAGTATGGTTTAGCACTACACCAGACAGAAGTTATCAGGAAAGCTACACAATACTCATAATTCACCGCCTCAAATTGCTACACTACTACTATGACTGACCTTGAACAACCAGTATTTCACTCTATTATATAACTCAAATGGTTCATAAAAACAGCAGATTTACAATTCTACTCATCACACTACACACTTTTCCTGGTTCTTAAAATGTATTGAAAGCTTTTTTTGGAAATCCATAATTTCAAGGCAATTGTGTTTTCCTTAAACATAACTAAACATTCAAGCAAAAAGCCATATTACATTTTATTCTACTCAATCTCTCTGTATAAGGAATATAATCAGGTGATCTTATTTTTTAAAAATCCTAAAACATTAAATTTTGTGAATTATACAATTGTAAAGACCACGTTAAAATAATAGAATTTGTTAACCTTAATTTTTAATCCTGTTACATTTTTATAATGGATCCCTTTTACTCCGGGTCAAATGATTAACTGCAAATAATCCTACTTTAAACACACTATAGTTATGATTATTTCTACAGTTTCCCAAGGCTTTCCCCTCCATCTTGTTCAATGCTCCAACCTTAACAGTTTCCCCATTTCAGGTTCCTCAAAATCTAAGGATGTATATAGTGCTCACAGCTCAGTGTATTGATGAAAGAAAAGTACAAATGAAGTATTTGAGAATATTCATATTGTTTGAATCATACCAACTATGCGAATGCCTCAAATTTATCGTGAAATAAATATTTTAGACAGAAAAGCATTTTGAATAATAAACAGGACCATATCTTTTTAAACCCAAGATTATTCTAGCAGTTCCAATTCCAAATCCTTTTAACAGCATATACCTAAATTATACATATTCAGGAATTTCCTATGGCAAAAGATAAAAAATAAAAATACCCTGGCAAAATACTATTATTCAAGTATATGTTATCCTGGCATCAAACAGTTTATATTTATGCATTTTTAAATTTGAAATAAGTAGCTGACAGTGATTCAAATTTGGAATTGTGCGGTGGGGTTGAAAAAGTACTTGAATGAGAAAAACTGCAGAATAAATGACATGAAAACTAGGATAAGTGTCTCAGAGCTGAATCCTTGCACTTGGCATGCGGCATATTGGGTTTCCTGCACCAGACGTCCTTTATGTCAAAGAAATTTTACTGGTGCTTTTACCTGTTTGGGGGCTTTTCAACGGTTTATAAAATTGCAAAAGCAAATCAGAACTACTCAACTATATTACTGCTTTTCAATTCATGATGAGCCAATCTACGGTTGGAGAGAAAGTCCCAGTGTGCCATAGATCCATACAATATAGGTCAGACATCCACTGCCATTCAATCTCTTTATGATTCAATCAACTATATATTCTAGCTCTGCTGCATTCAGTGAATGAGAAACACATGTAAACTGTCCTGGTCATGAAAAGATCTTAACAAATTTATTTTGAATATTCACTGAAGTGAAACAAAAGCTAATTTCAGAAAATCGGTGAAAATACCTTGTCTCAGACTTACAGCTGGAATGTCGATCTAAGCAGTTAAAGGCCCTACTTAAATTTTAAAAAATGGATTTATACTGGCAGGGATATTTACCAACAGAAAAGTCTGTCTCACATCAACCCTTCTGTCTCCTACAATAGCTTTAAATATCATCAGTCTTTGCTTTTTGGCACTGTTGCATGAATACAGCAGACTTGAAAGTCCACTTCATCTTAGCCAGTAAGACCATTTTGTTTCAAAATTTAAAATTGCAAAGAAGTGTTGACAATTCTTAAATTCAGAAGCCAGCTTTCCACAGTTCTCAATAATTATAATAATCCTTGCATTTGATATAGTGCATATAATGTTGAGAATGTTTCAAAGGCATTCACAACATTTCTGTGATGTGTTGTGCCTATATTTGTAAGCGAAATAAGTTTAAAAAGACCTGGAATCCAAACTAAAACTGAAGAATTTTTCACAATTCTACACAGCCTTAGTCTGCAAGACCATTTTGTCTTCAAGTTTAAGATTGAAAGGTATTTCAGATCGACCATGCTCAGAAACATTTTGCTTCATACTCATGCAACAAGCAAATCATCCTCAGCTTCAGTTTATGACAATTAAATGGTGAATTAGTGTTATGAAAGTGTAAAACAAAAACAAATCACAGTGCAAGTTCTGCACTGTTCTTAGAATGACCCTAAATTAATTACAGGCTGCTTTTCTGTGATTCTGCTTCAAATGTCAAAATGTATTGCGATTTTCTACAAGTATCAAAACAAAATTATATTTTGTCAATTTCTTTTGAAGCCCATTTTGGAAATAATGGAGTATAGCACAAATCTGTCCACCTTCCCAATGTTACAGCACGCCAGAAAAAAAAATCTAGTAGCAGATCTGTTATTTACAGTAGCCTGTAAATAATTGGTTTAAAGCTCTTCTCCACTCAAAGCAGCCAAAAACAGAGGCTGTGAATACTCACTTAAAATAATAGGCATTCCTGGAACATCTGGGTGGGAAAAGCCTTAGGCTGGCTGAGTCCACACAAATCAATTGACTTTTTATCCTATTGACTGAAATTTTCTTTTTTAAAAAAAAAAGCTGAAGCGTGAGACAATTCTCAGATGAAAGCTATAGAACATATACCTAAAATATTCACTGTGTAGTTTCACAGTATAGTCTTCCAATTACATCAAGTCTGGAATATTTTCTTCTAGGTTAGCCTTAAACCACACAAATTCTATTAAATCTGGATACCACAGAAGCTTCAATCTACTGAAGAGGAAGGACCTGGGTGTGTGTCTACAATTTCCCATGGCGAGCTACAGAGGTCAGCCACTTCTCTGTACGAGAGGGTATAACACGTCACCTCAGGTCATTCTTGCTCACGTGCTAGCAGACAGCTACAGAACAGTGTTGGCAGAAACCTAGCAGCAGGTCACCAGCCCATCCTCTCTGCCAGGAAATTGCATAGCAGAAAATGGGAGAAGGGGGAGGGGAGTAAGAAATCTAAAAGTAAAAAAAAGTTGTGGAAAATGGCAAATTTAGTAAAAATTCTTCACATTATCATTCACTACAATAACACTGCATTGTGCTATTGTGTGCTGGAAAGCAATTCATAAGCAGCAATTTATGATAAAATAATTTCACAATCTGAAGTGGGCAATCACACAGGGCGGGAAGGGGTGGGGGGGGCGGGGGGGAATTGAACTCACTGGATCATTAATATTAAGTTCTCACCCACAGCCTTCTCTGCCGGGGAAGGATAGATAGAACAAGACGAGGAAAAAAAGAGAGAAGTTTCCCTCTTTCCCATAAAGTCATATACAATACAAAAGGTCATATACAATACAAGGTGCCCCTCTTATTTCACACCCTGGTTTAGCACAAGTCTGCTTATAGTATGGGTGCACTGTGCTATAATCCAACCGCGATGCAACTGTCTCCCTAAGTTAAAAATGTACAGGAACAGATCTGCAGCAACCTAACAAGCTAGAAGGCAGCCATTTGTACAACTTTGCTGTAAAGCATGGCCTGAGTAAATAGCCACTGTGTAATAATGGAGCCACCCTGCATAACCCACTAGCATTTACATTACAACAGCCAGCCAGAATAATCAGAATAATCACAGCAGTGATAAATTCATATGTGTTGCAGAATTAAAATTGTCTGTTCTTAACAATGCATAAGGAAAATGGTCATGAAATCAGAGCTTTGCAACTAAATGGTAATTCTCTATAGATATATATGGTAATTACAGAAGCTAAAAGAACATATGGATTCCACACACCATATACAGTTGTGCAGCACA